CCAGGCTGGAGTGCAATGGCATGATCTTGGCTCACTGTAACCTCCACCTCCCGGGTTCAAGCAATTCTCCTGCCTCAGCCTCCTGAGTAGCTGGGATCACATGCATATGTCACCATGACCAGCTAATTTTTTCTATTTTTAGTAGAGACGGGGTTTCACTATGTTGGCCAGGCTGCAAAGTGCTGGGATTACAGGCATGAGCCACCATACCTAGCCATAACCTGTATTTTGTGCTGAACTCTTATCTCATTCTGTGACTTAGAATGCCTAGCCATTGGGCAGTGCAGCCCAGTAGGCCTCAGCCTCATCTTACCCAGCCCCTATTAAACATGGATTTGCCCTGATTCAGTACGCCTCTGACGTTTATGCCCCCCCCCTTTTTTTTTTTTCAGAGATGGAGAGGGGTCTCTAACCTTCTAAATCTTAGTAAGAACTATAACCTTCCTTAGTTGGGCCTCGAATACAAGTTCAGTCAAGCATCCTTGCATTTTATTAAGAGGAGCCTTGTCCAGAGACGGTGACTCACGCCTGTAATCCCAGCACTTTGGGAGGCTGAAGCAAACAGATCACAAGGTCAGGAGTTCGAGACCAGCCTGGCCAACATGGTGAAACACCGTCCCTACTAAAACTACAAAATTAGCTGGATGTGGTGGCGCATGCATGTAATCCCAGCTGCTCGGGAGGCAGAGGCAGGAGAATCGCTTAAACCTGGGAGGCAGAGGTTTCAGTGAGCCAAGATTGCGCCATTGCACTCCAGCCTGGGTGACAGGGCAAGACTCTGTCTCAAAAAAAAAAAAAAAAAAAGCAAAAAACAAAAAGAGGAGCCTTTAACCCACTCTGTCTTAGGAGAGACTCTAACACCCCTAAGTTTGACCTCTAACCATATTCTACCCTTTATTCAGATATGTACCCCACTTGCCCAGAGTCAGCCAACTGGTGCACACAGATGATTTTCCTTTGGGTCAGGGATCTCTTCAGTACAGTCTCTTTGTGGTTGCCAGAAAGATGTTATCCCAAAGAAGTTCTGATCCAGACCTCAAAAGAGGGTTCTTGGATTTCACCCAAGAAAGAATTCAGAGTGAGCCCATGGAGTAAAATGAAAGCAAGTTTATTAAGAAAGTAAAGGAATAAAAGAATGGCTTGCTCCATAGGCTGGTTGCCCATTTTTATGGATATTCCCTAATTATATGCTAACCAAGGGATGGATTATTTATGCCTCTCTTTTTTAGATCATAATAGTGTAACTTTCTGAGGTTGCCATGGCATTTGTGAACTGTCATGACACTGGTGGGATTGTAGCACTGAGGATGACCAGAGGTCACTCTCATCACTGGTTTTGGTGGGTTTTATCTCGCTTGTTTATTGCAGCCTGTTTTTTCTTTTTCTTTCTTTTTTTTGAGATGGAGTCTCGCTCTGTTACCCAGGCTGGAGTGTAGTGGTGCAATCTTGGCTCACTGCACCCTCTGCCTCCCAGGTTCAAGCACTTCTCCTGTCTCTGCCTCCCCAGCAGCTAGAATACAGGCACGTGCCATCACACCTGACTGATTTTTGTATTTTTCTTAGAGATGGGGTTTTACAATGTTGACCAGGCTCGTCTTGAACTCCTGACCTCAGGTGATCCACCCGCCTCGGCCTCCCTAAGTGCTGGGATTACAGGTGTGAGCCACCGTGCCTGGCTGGGATTCTCCAATTTTAACTAGTAGTTCAGATGCGTGGTTGGGGTTTGTCACTGGCATCTGCAGTGAGGGCAAAGTTGTGGGGCTGAGCCCTGAATCAAGGTCTGTGCTGACTCTGGGTGGTGTCAGAATTGAAATGTTAGACAATGAGTTGGTGTTGGAGGATTGTTTGGTGTACTTCGAACTCTACAGATACAGTGCCAGAAGAAGGATATCACAGAGGCCTGGCCTGGAATGGAACTCTGGGTGTCTGGGAATGGGAGACTCTGCCCTCCTGTACACTGCTCATTGTGATTCCAGGTCTTCTCTGTGGGTGACAGAGGACTAAAAACTTAGAGAAAAAGAGCACTGATGACAGACCCCCTTTTCTTGCGGTGGCCACCACAGGATTCCCACCTACTCACAAACACACCCACTAGACATTGACATTTCCACACTCCTCCTAGGACTAGGCACCACCCTCAGGAACTTCACCACGGCAGTTTTGATCCTAGTGTTTCTTGACAAAATCCCACAAAAAGTACCTATAAGTCTCCTCACATATCCCCACTCCCAGACACTGAATCTGCAGCAGGAACCTGTTTTATCCACCATCCTGGGGTTCTGGACCACCCGTTCATAATCTCATCTGCCTGTATGGACACAGAAATAAATCAGTGTACAGCCCCACCTGGGCCACTATCTGTATAACGAACAGTTTCTTCCACCTACATTGCATTCTTCTCCACCCATGGGTCTTTTTTCCTTTTAACTTTTCTTTTTGGTTCGGGCTTGCACATGCAGGTTTGTTATACAGGTAAAATTGTGTCATAGGGGTTTGGTGTAGGTTATTTTGTCTTTGAGGTACTAAACCTAGCAATGAACAGGTATTTTTTTTAACCTCTTTTTCCTTTCATCTTCCACCCTCAGCTAGGCTTCGGTGACTGTTGTGTCCATATGTTCTTATTTCTTAGCTCTTACTTATAAATGAGAGCATGCATTTGGTTTTGTGTTTCTGCATTATCTTTAGATAATGGTCTCCAGCTTCATCCATGTTGCTGCAAAGAATATCATCTGATTTTTGTTTTTATGGCCACATAGTCTTCCATCATATGTATGTGCCATATTTTGTTTTTATTAAATCTTTTATTTAATTAATTTATTTTTGGGAGACAGTGTCTCACTCTGTCACACAGACTAGAGTGCAGTGGTGGAATCTTGGCTCACTTCAGCCTCAACCTTCCAGGCTCAAGGAATCCTCCTACCTCAACCTCTTAAGTAACTGGGACTACAGGCATGCTGCCCCACACCAGACTAATTTTTCTTTTTCTGTTTTCTGTAGAGATAGGGTTTTGCCATGTTGCCTAGGCTGGTCTTTTTTTTTTTTTTTTTTTTTTTTTGAGACGGAGTTTC